GTAATGAGATTTTCATCTAATCCAGGCATCTACTCATAAGTCTAAGCAAACATTTCTTGAAATTTTCTCAACAGCTCAATTAACTCAATCCTTTGCTCACCAGAAAGACTTTTTCTTATGAAGAGTGGCTTAGTCACCTCTTCTTCTACCATATTTATTTCTTCCAACTCATCACCTTGAGGCTTCGGTCGATCTGAGAGTTGTTCTTTTATGGGTAATACTTCTAGTACTTTTTCCTTTTTGGCTTCTACTTGAAAACATGATGGTGATGCATCCGATGGCTTCCAAGGTTTCGGATCAAGAGAAGATGTTTTCCCAGACCCCACGTCCCATCATAAGCAATACACAATTTTTCTATCTTCTAGTGCATAAGAAGTTACCCCATTTGATGTATTTTCTTCATTTACTTCTCTATATACAAAAGTGTTGTCCCTTATTCTCTTCCCACCTTACTTCTTCTTTTTGCCATTGCTCTATACCTTATTCACAACATCCTCTTCCCATCTTGGAAGTGGAACACTGATAAGTCTAGCAATAGCTGTTTCTTTATCTTTTGCTAGATCTTCAAAGAAAGAAGCCTCTGTATAACTCACCTCATGTTATTCAAATGAACCTTTAGTGGCTAGAATGAAAATCTCTTTCCCCTTCTAATGTTCTTTAATACATTAATGGCATGTAGAAGGAATGATATTGTGCATGTGAAGGAATTTTCTTCCAATTAATGATAAGCCACATTTGCATCAATAACATGAAAACATGTCTAATCTTGAATCGGTCCCATCTTGAAGTTCACTGTTACTTGCCCCAAAGTCATAATCTCCTTACTATCAAAAGAAGTGATAGCCATAGGACGATATAAACCCTTCAAATCTATGTTTATAGCTTTCAAAGTAGATAGAGGTATGAGATTCATAGAGGAATCATCATCAATGAATGTTCTCCTAATAGGATATCCATTGATAGTACTTTTCACATATAATGGTTTACTATGATGAGGATGAGGTGTACACATATCTGCCTCTGTAAACACAATAGCATTCTAACATGCGTCAACCATCTTCTCATAGGTAGTCCTACTAGGTTACACTCCACATA